TAGCAGGATTCAAAATCAATGCACAAAAATCAATAGTGCTCCTCTACACCAATAATGAACCCACCAGAAAGAAATTAGGAAAACAATATAATTCACGATAGCTTCAAGAAAAATTAAATATATGGCAATTAACTTAAAAAGAAAGTGAAAGACATGTACAACATAAACTATAGAACTCTGGAAGACCTAAGAAGACCTCAGAAAATTGAAAGATATCCTCTGTTTCTAGATAGGAAGAACCAATATTGTATAAATGCATACTTTCAAAACTGATATATAGATTTAATACAACCCAAACAGCATTCCTTACAGAAGTAACAATCCTAAAATTCATATGGAACCAGAAGAGACCAAAAATAACAAAAGCAATGCTGGAAAACAATCAGCAGCAGAAGGCAGGTGTGACAATCCCAGGCTTCAAGTTATATTACAAAGCTACAGTGGTAAAAACAGCATGGTACTGGCACAAAAAGAGACACATGGATCAATAGAACAGAACAGAAGATTCAGACATAACCTTGGCACATTCTGCCAACTAATCTTTTACAAAAAGGTCAAAAACAGGTGTGGAAGGAAAGATAGCTTCTTAACAAATGGTGCTAAGAAAACTATACATTTGCACAAAAAATTGAATCTAGACCAATATCTAATAAAAATGGTTCAAACATCTAAATATTAAAACAGAAACAATCTACTGTAAGATAAAATAGATAAAACTTTTGAAGACATAGGCATAGTGAAGGATTTCTGCACATGAAATAACACCAAGAATCAACAAATGAGATCATATCAAAGCAAAAAGCTACTGTGTAGCAAAGAAAAAACCACCAAAGTGAAGAGATAACCTACAAAATGGGGAAAAAAAATTGTCAGATATTCTACAAAGGATAAATACTTACACATAAAGAACTCAAAAAAATTAGACCCCCCCAAAATAACAGATGCAATCGAGAACTAGACAACTGAAATGAAGAGATATTTCTCAGGAGAAGTTGTACAAAACGATCCATAAATACATGAAAAAAAATTTAACATCACTGGCCATTAGATAACCGCAAATTAAAACAACACTGAGATCCTATTTTATCCTAGAAAGAATGGCCATCATCAAGAACTCAAATAATAAATACTGGTAAGTTTACCAAAAAAAAAAAAGAAAAAAAAAAAAAAGAAATCTTTTATGGCTTTGGTGATGTTATGGAAGGAATCAGTAGGTGACACACAGAGAGGCAGCAGAATGGAAGTAAAATAATAAATTTACTCATTGATAAGGGTCATTCACACATAAGCCATGCCTGGATCAATGATGCACTGGGTTACAACTTCTCCTTTTATAGGGTTTTACAGCCTTGACTTCATTTGGTTGGTTACATTTCATTCTCCCAGTTCAAATCATGGCCACAGGATAGTTAATATTTTCAACCCACACATAACAATTCTTTGCAGTTGGGGAGTTTACCTTTAAGATTTGCCTAGTTATCTATTCTAGCCCATAGGAAGGGGATGTTCAGGGTCACAGGCGTGAATGTTGGCAATGGTCCTTTTTATCTTGACACTTTTACAATCAGTCTCTGGGAGCTCAATACCTTGATGGGCCCTGCTATCGCAGGGTAAGACCAAATGCCTCATTCAGCAATTAGTGCCTTCAGTGCCTATTAGTTTTGAGCTAAACAAACTGCTGCTAGAGACAGCAGAAGCCACTTTACATTGTAACACTTTATAGGTTTTTGTTATTTATAAAAGTTTTCCCTATCAGTGGAAATGATGGAAACTTGAAGAGTGCTCAAAAGAATTAAAAACAGAAATTCTATTCAGTCTAACTGTTTCCCTTATAGGTATCTCCTGAATCTTATTATAGTGATATATGCATATCCATGCTTCTAGCAGGACAATTTATAATAGCTACATTTTGGAGGTCAGTTATATGTTCATCAACAGATTAATGGATAAAGAAAATGTGGTATTTATACACAAGGCAATACTTCTCTGCCATAAAGAAGGATAACTGTGAGTTATTTGTAGGAAAATAGATACACACCTTGAGACCATACAGTTAAGTGAAATTAATCAACACAAAAGATTAAGTATTGTGTAGTTTCTCTTATATGAGCGACCCAAACTATAAGAGAAAAATAAAAGAGAGAGCAGGCCACAAGATGGAGAAAGGATCAGGGAAAGAGAAAATTAAGATGTATTGTGTACATGCACCAACTCCCCACAATGAATACAATCACTATGTTCTGCAAGCATGGGCTAATAAAAATAAAAATTAAAAAAGATTTCAGATTGTGGTTTTTAGATAAAATACATGATATTCATTAAGGTATGAATTTCAAATAAAAAACGAATAATTTTAAAACTGTGTCTCACACAATATTCAAAGTATATTTATAGTAAAATTTTGTTTACCTATATATTAAATATAATTGATGAATATTTTATACATTTTTATTTGCCAGTTCAACCTTATTTAAAAATAAGCATCACACTGGAACCAAACAGGATGGTTAATATCCTTCCTCAATCCACAAAAGAAAAGCTTCCCTGAGCTTTGAGGGGTGATATGCTTACAGATAGTCTATAAACTGTTCAACTTCTTTTCTTGATTTTGGTAGTGTTTATGGTCTTTCTGTTAAGAGTTAAATAATTTTTAGGCCGGGGATTTAGCTCAGTGGTTCCGCCACCTGCTTCACAAGCGCAGTTTGATCTCCGGTACAAAAAAAAAAAAAAAAAAAAAAAAAAAAAAAA